ATCATCTTTAGCTTTATAAATATGCTTAACCCAAAAACCCAGAAATCAAAAAGAAATCTAAGCCAACTTCTTACCTCTCTCTCCACTTGTTGCCTTTTCGTTTCTCCTCCTTTTCAATTTCCAATCTCCACCTCCCTCTCAATCTCCTTTCTTCTCCGTTAGTGGTGATTTTAACACCTGATCAACACATGATCACTAGAAGGAAAATGGAACCCGAATCACCAAACCTCTCCTTCTTCCCCAAACCTCCTCTCTAATGGAAACCAAATCTGGCTCCTCGCACAATAACAATGGCCAATAGATCTTATTCAAAAAATCAATTACATTGCAAACTTATGCCACATCTATAAAGATTCAAAAAAATAATCATATTGCAAACTTATACCAGATCTGTAAAAGAAAAGGAAGATGCAAAAAACACAACATCCCTTCAATCAACACCAACAATAGATCTTGAAATTCAAGCAAGCAAAAGCCACACAAAACTCTAAATCCCATACCAAGATAGCCAAGCATGACTGTAGCCAACAAAGAAATAGATGAAAAAGAAGAAGAAGAAGAAAATGAGAACCAATGAGAAAAAATCATGGGATTTCTTTCAAAAATATCAAGAAAAGAAGGGAAAATACTTGATACAAGTTTTCTTGGTTGGGTTCTCAACAAACAAGGGAAAAACAAAAAGGATGAGAAAGAGAAGGGAGGGGAGAGAAAAGAAGAAGCAAAACGAAAGAGAAAGCAAGAATGAAGAAGGTTCCAAAGAACTCAGGCGTGCTCGGTTTGAAGGTACCCATCGCCTGAGTTCCATCAAACCCAACACCTAGGTTCTTTCAAACCCAATAAGTAGGGGAAGGAGAAAGGGAAAGAGAAGGAGAGAAAAAAACAAAGGGAAATAAATTTTTATTTAATAACTATTTATTAAATTATATTTATGTAATTTACTTTAAAATTTGTCATGTCATAACACTTTTTATAATTAAAAAATATCATATCACCTACTTTATTTCCACGTAATAATCAATTTAATAGAAATTGAATTTCTTAATGAAGAATTTTACCACATCAGCACTTAACTAACATAAGGACTAAATTGGTGTCAAAAATTGAAGTTTAAGGATGTTTTTAGTACTTTTTAAAGTTAGAGGATAGATTTGGTTAAAAAATGAAAGTTGAGGGACCAAACCAGGTATTTAACCTAAAATTTATTTCCCAAAAAAAGAGATTAAATTCTACAATTTTAATATTTGGTAAAAAAATTCGCATACCTACAAAGATTTACCGTTCCCCACAAAAATGGAGATAAAGGGCATTTTTTGCCCTCCACTCAAATTTCTAATCGAGATTCCAATATCCACCAGTAATGGGGGATGTACATAGGAAGAAGGTCCTCGCCTAGCAGGAACCCATTGTCATTCCTATTGCCAAGTAACTAACCCTCCAACAGATTTACTAAAAAAATAAAAATTATGTCACCTTGATTTGTCAACATTATCTCACCTATAATTTGTAAAACACATCTTTATTGTAATTGGATACCATGTTGGTTAGGTATCTCTGAGCAACATAAAAATAATATATTAGAGGTTTTTCATATCACATCACTAGTTTCATTTGGAAATTTCCTTATAAACACAAATGTTTAAGCTATTAATTGTAGGAGATATTATTATTCGAAATTTTGTGATATTGATATCCCTTAACGTTGAAGCTTTTACCGTCTCATTTGGCCTAATATATATATATAGAGCATGTTTAGATTAATTTGTAAGAGTTTTTACTTTTTTTATACTGTTTATGAGTGATAAATTTAAATTTTTATTAGA